TCATGAAGGAATGGAGCGGACAGGTTCAGCCGGCTTTGATAGCATCCTTCATCATCCTCTTCTTCCTGGAGGCCTGTCTTTGGGTCAGAAATCTCACGTTCAAGAAAAGGCTTCCAGGCCCGTTCGCCTGGCCCTTGGTGGGCAACGCCATGCAGCTGGGACAAATGCCACACATCACCTTCTCTAAGCTGGCAAAGAAGTACGGAAACGTCTACCAGATCAGACTCGGGCGAAGCGACATTGTGGTTCTGAACGGAGTTGCGGCCATACGCAAGGCGCTCATTGAACACAGCACCGAATTTGCCGGGAGGCCAAACTTTCTGTCTTTTCAGATGATCTCCGGCGGTCGGAGCATGGTGTTCAGCAATTACAGCAAACAGTGGAAGGCGCACCGGAAAGTAGCTCAATCGACTCTGAGAGCATTCTCGGTGGCAAACACTCAAACCAAAAAGACATTCGAACAACACGTTGTAGGTGAAGCCATGGATCTGGTCCAGAAGTTTCTGAGGCTCAGCGCCGACGGACGACACTTCAATCCTTCGCACGATTTCACCGTCGCCGCCGCCAACGTCATCTGCGCGCTTTGCTTTGGGAAACGCTACGGCCATGACGATCCCGAGTTCAGGACCCTCCTGAGAAGAGTGGATAAGTTTGGCGAAACTGTTGGCGCTGGAAGCCTGGTGGACGTCATGCCTTGGCTGCAGTCGTTTCCGAATCCGGTCCGAAGCGTTTATCAAAACTTCAAGCTCATTAATGAAGAGTTCTTCGCTTATGTGAAGGACAAAGTGGTGCAGCATAGAGACACATACGACCCTGAGGTCACCCGTGACATGAGCGATGCAATCATTGGCGTAATTGAGCATGGGAAAGAGAGCATGCTGACTAAAGACTTTGTTGAGTCTACAGTCACTGATTTAATCGGTGCAGGACAAGACACGATGTCAACAGTCATGCAATGGATACTTCTGCTTTTAGTCAAATACCCATCAATCCAAACCAAAATCCAAGAGCAGATTGATAAAGTAGTAGGTCGTGACAGACTCCCATCAATAGAAGACAAGAGCAACCTGGCCTACCTGGATGCCTTCATCTACGAAACCATGCGCTACTCCAGCTTCGTCCCCGTCACCATACCGCACTCCACCACCTCAGACGTCACCATCGAAGGTCTCCACATCCCCAAAGACACAGTGGTGTTCATCAACCAATGGTCCGTCAACCACGACCCTCAAAAGTGGCAGGATCCTCACATCTTCAACCCGTCGAGATTCCTGGACGAGAACGGAGCTCTGGACAAAGACCTGACCAACAGCGTGATGATCTTCTCCACAGGTAAGAGAAGATGCATCGGCGATCAGATCGCCAAAGTGGAGGTTTTTCTGTTCTCTGCCATCCTTTTGCACCAGTGCTCGTTTGACAGCAACCCCTCTCAGGATCTCTCCATGGACTGCTCGTATGGTTTAACACTGAAGCCGCTCCATTACACAGTCTCGGCGAAGCTCAGAGGAAAACTGTTTGGCTTGGTATCGCCAGCATGAGTTGTTTTTGTGACTAAAGCCCAGCAAAGACTGCACATATTACAAATATATTCCACATTAACAATGAGTATTAGTTAAGCTGCACTGAATGCTGTTTAGTAATTCTATATTTAATATTTATACACGTTTGCAATGATTCAATGAACTGATTTAATCACATCCATAGAATATGTTGTCAGGTAACTGGAGAGATTCTTCTAACGCTCCTAAATGGGGTTAATAGTAATGTTTTAATTGGTTTACGTTTATAAAACATCATTTATGCTTCAAAATAATGATAGAAGGACTGCAATATGAAATGTTTATGGTCCAATGCTAAGCCACTATCACTGTAGACATATCAACTATTATGTAATATTATGCAATTGTTTGTAGATCGTGTTGAGTCATGTTAATGGGCAGCAGCTGTTGGAGAACTTTTACTTCCTATGAGCTCGACTCAGATTTGGCATAGCAGTGCATTTAATTATGCTTGCATAAAACAGTATAACGATGTGATTATAGGCATTTAAGCATTTATTATACAACTGTGTCTATAAATTCTATTCTTTATAAAATGCATAGAAATGTATTCACTGAATTCTTTAAAAAGGCTGCAAGGGTCACTTGTTGAAATTACAGTTATTTTAGTGGCAATGCCAATTTGCAATCAATGCTTTGCTGAGTCTGTCCTATTGCTCAGCAAATCATTAATTGGAAGTCTTAAGCCTCACGCTGGATGAACTTTCTGCTTCCTCATTATGTCATTTTGAAGGTTCATCACATGCACAAATCCTCAAAATAATGTATAAAACTAGCAGTATAAATCAGAGCTACTATCTCAAGATATACTCCTATGTCATATTGCATATATTATGGTAAATGTTTACACTGAATGTTTTGCAAGCTCAGTTTTGTTTTCTTTTGATATTCAGGTATTATTTTAAATGTGTTTTGTTTTTACTATTGGAAAATAAGCTACAAGTGGAATAAATAAAGTGCTGTTTTACAGATGCACTCACTCTCTTTCTTAACACGATTCACATTTTATAAGAAATTACATGCATACACATACAATCACACATCAATCCAAACCAGGCATTTAAATGACAGTTTTATTATCTGAATGGTCTGCATCTGTCTTCACTTATGCATATGGTCTCTATATATCCTTATTGTTAGTTTTATGGCCAATATTTCTGTTTGCATTCAGTTTCTGAGATATTTCTGTAAAGCCACATCTTTCAAGTCAAATTATCTTAAGTTTATATAACAGTCATTATTCTAACTACAGCTCATGATAAATACACAGTCATGGTACATATTTAACTCCATTGTTTGTATCTGTTCTTTGTCTGAAGCATTAAAAAAACCTTCAAAACTTTCACAAGTTTACAGACTGAATTCCTCAAGTGACTTGATTTCACTAGCATTCAGTTGGCATCACATTGTGGATTCCAAACAAAATGAAATCCCACCAATTAGAGCAGACCTACAGAGCTCATAGATGTTAGGCAATGTATTCTGTAAAAAATAAAATGACAGCATTTCAAGTTTTATGGCTTTATTCAACTTAATCAGACAAGTCAGCACTTTACGGCAAGACAAATAAAACAAATGATCTCTTAAAAATATATATAGAAAACGAAAGCCATCATTAAATGAAGGCGCACATCCATTTAGCCTAATCACTGTTATTGTCTTACTGTCATGTGTATATACACAAATAGAGTACCTCCAAAAAGTCAATAAAACAGTATGTGAACATATTAGATAACATATCAAAGCACGCATCTCTGCATGTCTCAAATGCTGCAGGATCTTCTCACTAATGTTCACTTTTCTTCATCACGTTTGAAGTCTCAGTGTGTTTGAATATGCTGGTATTTTGGTGATTTTTAGTGGATGTATGAAGTCAGTTCTCCTCAAGTTCACACAGGTGTCCTGGAACCACAGGTGCAGAGAAACAACTAAGATCCACTAACAACATACAAACACAATGCTGACTGTCTTCAAGTTCAACAACTGCATCTATTATCAGTTCAAATTTCACATTTACATTTTTTATGTACTGCAAAAATGTTCTAAATTCTTTAAAATAAATGACACTTGCTTTGGTATTTTGCTATCTAATGCAATAGATCTAATGCATACTGATATGTAGTTTTCTGAAGCATTATGCACCTGTAGATGGCTCAAGAACGTGTTGGGAGCCCAATGTGTGTCCAGGCGTCTACACTCCGGCCGTGATGGGTACAGTGTCAAGGTTGAAATCTGCATTCTTCTAATTTGGTCATCTGTGGACAGACACTGCAGCTCCGCAAACCCTGACCCGTCTTCCTGTAACCCCACAGCCGAAGAGGGCAGAAAACAGCAGTGCTATCAAATTCTTCCTTTACTCACCATTCAAAATGGGGAGTTACTAATACAGTCACAATTTATGCAAAAACAAACCTTCAGAGCTTCAGAATATCATGGCGCTTTCAGACACAGAGTTCGGCATGAATGGTAGTAGCGTCCTTAAGGAATGGAGCGGACAAATCCAGCCAGCCCTCGTTGCATCTTTCACCTTCCTCTGCTGTCTGGAGGCTTGTTTCTGGGTCAGGAACCTCACTCTCAAAAAGAGGCTTCCAGGGCCCTTCACTTGGCTGCTTCCAGTCGGTTTCTGGCGGGACGAGCATGACGTTCACCAACTACAGCAAGCAATGGAAGATGCACCGGAGGATCGCCCAGTCCACCATTCGTGCATTCTCTTCTGCAAACAGCCAAACAAAAAAGTCCTTTGAGAAGCACATCGCAGCTGAAGCCGAGGAACTGATTGAAGCGTTTCTGAGATTGAGTTCAAACAACCAATACTTCAATCCATCTCATGAACTCACAGTTGCAGCTGCTAACATCATCTGCGCTCTTTGTTTTGGGAAACGCTACGGACATGATGATCTAGAGTTCAGGACTCTCTTGAGAAGAGTGGATAAGTTTGGCGAAACCGTAGGAGCTGGAAGTTTGGTGGACGTCATGCCTTGGTTGCAATCTTTTCCTAATCCTGTGAGGAGCGTTTTTCAGAACGTCAAAGACCTTAACAAGGACTTCTTCACGTTTGTCAAAGGTAAAGTGGTGGAGCACAGGCAAAGCTACGACCCTGAGGTCACAAGAGACATGAGTGATGCCTTTATTGGTGTGATAGATCATGCAGACATGGAGACGGGCTTAACTGAGGCTCATACTGAAGGTACGGTTTCTGATCTCATTGGAGCAGGTCTGGATACCATCTCCACTGCCTTGCACTGGATGCTTCTACTACTGGTCAAGTACCCATCAATCCAAACCAAACTCCAAGAGCAGATTGATAAAGTAGTAGGTCGTGACAGACTCCCATCTACTTCCAAAAGTAATGTATAAAAAAATTTGAAACGCCAGCATTATCAATTATTTTATGCCGTTTAATACGGTTGTTTTTCTCTCCATCCATTTTTTCATACATCCAGCTGTGCAACAAGTGATGGTGCAAGAACGGAATAATTGGAGGTAACAATTCATATCTAATTTTTTTTGTTTATTTCACACTTTACTAATAATACCTCTCACGTGAGCTTCAGAAAACACTGGTCACGCTTCACAACATCCTGATAAATCACTTAATATGCAATCATGAACTGATGTATGACAGCCAGCCCAAAATACAGTTTTTTTTTTTTTCAGTTTAACAAAATTCTTTTATTTTAAAATATAAATGTAAATTTCAAAATATTGTCTCGTTTTGTGTTATTTCATAGCAATGTATTTTTTGCACTGAGAAACAATCTGAAAAATACCAAGTGGTGTTAAATAAAGACACATTTGCTATGTGTGTGTGTGTTTTTTTTAAGGATACTCATGGGAACAAGGAGGAACTGGAACAGCTCACACTGAAGATCATCACAAAAGGTGGCTCAACAGATGATCCATTACAGACTGGGATAGTGCTGGAAGGCATAGAGGTGATGGCGGGATTGGCAGGTGTTGCGAAAGCTTGTTTTTCTGCTTGGCCTAATTTATGCAATTAATCCAAGTTACCCCAAAGAGCTCAGGTACTCATTTTAATTTTTTCAGAAGATTCTACTGGAACTAGACATTGGCAAACTTTTTAACTAAATTTTTCAAGGGTGAAAAATCAAGGAAGTGACATGTTGGAAGTGAACTTCCATTTGTCGATTTGTCACATTTTGGTGTACATTCATGATGTGTGGTTTCAGCCTGTCAAAAAATAAACTGAAATGCTTTATTTTGTGTGATTTGCGTGTTTAATTTATTTAAGATATTGACTGTACTGGAGCAGTACAGTAAGCAGACCAATAGCTGAAGATCTAAAATAAATGTTAAGTACTTGAAATTACTTAGTAGATGATGTTGCATGTTTTAAGTAAAGAATGTTAAGTGAACTCTGAACTCAAAGTTCACGTAACAAAGATTATCTTGTTTATTTTAAGTACAGTTGTTCCAAGTTGGGTTTACTTAAAAAGTGTGATGCAAAAAATGGTGCATATATATTTTAATAAATCCAACACATCATTTTTACCAGTGTAGAAAATGTATCTGTATTTAAGTTGATTATTAGCCTTCTCTTGACAGAGAGCTGGGGCAAGTTCAAGCTCAAACCGGTGTGCAACGTTTTGCTACGGTTTCCGGTTTAAACGACATGTTTCCTGGAAACGGTGTGCAATGGGGTTTGAGATACGTTTTCTCTTGTTTGGTGGGTGTGTCAAAAATGTCAGCCCAATCAGCAGCAACATGTATATAAACCACGCGGTATTAAAGAGACAGCT